GTCCTGTCTGACTTTGGGGAATGGGAGGTTCCCAGGGTGCAGCCCGAGAGTCCAGAAGCACCCGGCGAGCTTCCAGCCACCTCTCCACCCCGTCCACCCCCACTCAGGATGCGCCATCTCCAGGGAGCTGCCTGGCTTTTCCTGCACCTGCAGGATGCTCTCTCTCTTCTCAAGACCTAGCTCAGGAGATGCCACCGCACAGCCCCTCACAGTGACAATCCCACCACCCTGGGGCCCAAGGGGCCCTCCCTGTGCCCTTCATCCCATGCATATGGCAGGGGTCTCATTGCTCCACCTTCAAGCTGGTCTCCCGCAGCCTCCTCCAGGAAGCCCTCCCTGCGCCCCAAGCCCAGACCTCGAGTCTCCCTTTGCATCCCCCCTTGCACCCGTGGTAACATGTTGTGACCTGCCTTCCTCGAGATGGCGGAGGTCGGCGGAGGTCAGAGACCGTCCCCATCGTTCCCACTGTGGCATCCACGCAGCAGGCACATGATCAATATGGCGAAGGTCGTTGCCTCTGTGTCTGGGTCGGTCCCAGCCACTAAGGTGAAGCTCTTAGAGAGAAGGGCTCCTGCCCTGCTCATCTCTGTGTCATGGGACCCAGCACAGGGCCTGGCAGCCCAGAGAGCAGCCAGGAGTGTTTGTTGAATGAATCTGCAAACACAGGAATGGACAAATGCCACTTCCTGGTCAGGGCAAGGGGGTCACTGCAGACCCAAAGCCCTGTTCCGAGGCTGTGGATTGTCAGCGGTGGGGTGGGGGTGGGGGTCCGAGAGGGCCTCGGTCCTAGACTAGGAGTCAGGCGGTGGCTTCCCACGATTCTTGAAGCCCAAATTTGAGTCTAATTAAAACATAGCTCAGTAAGAGTCTGGAGTTTGATGAACACTAGATAGAGTCATCGGTTTCTCCCCAAAAGCCCATTTGTCCCGTTTCTTCCCCACCTCAGGGAACAGCCCACGGTCCAACCCACGGCGCAGGCCGACGGCCTCGGAGGAGCCCTGCTGCCTCCGCACTGGCCGCTCTCCCAGAGGTCTTCCCGCGTCCTCACGCAGGCCCCCACGCCCCGTCCACACCGCAGCTCGAGAGGCCTTTGAAGACCAGTCAATTCGCTCATGCTACAGCCCCATCCCCAAGGCCTCCGCTCAGGTCCCGCCCCACAGAGATTCCCATCCGGGCTCCGATGGTCATCCCCCGGGCCGCCTCCACCTTGCCAGCCTGCTTCCCATCGCTCTGTCCCATGTCCCCCCGACCCCCGGCACCGGCCCGGGTCCCACGCTCCCTCCCCGGGCTCACCTCGATCTTGGGCTACTCATAGTCGCCCTTCCCCAGATTTCTCCCAACCGGCCCCAATTTCAGGTCACATGACCACGTCTCCCCAGAGGGCCCTGCCCTGACCCCCTCCCCTACCCCGCTGCCTCGGGGTGCTGTGCTGGGACCCGCGTTCTTTCCATCAGAGCACTCGTTGCCACCTCACGTGATTCGGTCTCTTTTCACGTGTTTGGTTCCCTCCAACTAGCACGCCAGTGCTTCTCGCGTTCCAGAACCACCAGCGTCTTTTGTTCACTTGCTTTCTGCTTCTGTCCCCTGCTTGAGAGGAAACTCCCAGACGGAAAGCCCCACCCAGCCTGGGGCTCCATCCCATTCCTTCTCAGCGCGCTGCTGGGCACACAGTTGATGCTTATTGAGGATTTGCTGAGTTAATAGCTGAATGAATGGATGAATGGATGAGCTCAGAATGTGCGCACACCATGAAGCTGGCTCGTGGAGGAGAGCGAATGTGTCCTATTCATCGGCTTTAGCGCAAACACGGAATACGGAGACGATCCAGTTTGCACAGACTGGGGTCACCCCTGGGTTACCGTGCTCGGTCCTGGTCACTGCGCTGTCACGGGGACCACAGTGAGCGTAGAAAGCTGACCGGGTTGGCGCGGGAACCAGCAACGACCAGCTACGGAAACAAGAAATCCCAGGAAGGACACCGGCGCCATCCTTTAATAGCTCAAGAGCGGCTGGAAGAACGAGGGGGTTGACGTAGTTTGCAGCCCTAAGCCCGTGGATCTGAATCCAGATCCATGGGTGTTCGTTTGATAGAGACAGATGCCATGTAGGAAGGAAACGGTCCCTTGACAGCCTGCATTCTTGTCTCGGGAGGTGGTGAGCTTGTCATCTAAGAAAATGTACGGGCGGGTAACGTCTTGGCGAGGATGTTGAGGGATTCAAGCAGCAGAAGACGGCCTCCGATACCCCTTTCAACCCTGACACGTCTGGGGTTTTGTGATATACAGGGATTGAGTCCACAAGACATTTCTGGCCAACAGGGGATCTGGAACTTACTTATCTAGCCACCCCGATAGCAGAAAACATCACCCAAACCAGGTCTGCATGTTAAGCAGTGGGAAGACGCGCTGAGGGGTATCTCAGGGGCTTGCAGCCATCCCACAGACACACCGGGCAGCTCACTGGGTTCGAAGCCAGCCGTCTGTGTGTGACCATTCAGCCCACGAGGCTGTCAGGTGGCATGAGGACCCAAACACTGCTTCCACTTTCCGGGGAACAGCCTGCACTCCCTACGGCACGGTCGCTCAGGTGAACCTGGGTGTGCTTTCTGAAACCCCAGCACCCCCTAACCGCTGGGGCCTTGGGCAGAGACGCCAACCCCCCAGCCTATGACCTCCTCTGCAAAACGGGTTTCATTAAAACCCCGGGGAAGGGAGGAATCGGACCAAGAATGGCACAAATGTGACACTTCATGAACCTCAGAGACAGACCTTGTTCTATTGTATACATGGGAACATCTGCATAATAAAAAGGGAGTTTAAAATAGTACCAACCTCACATAATAATTGCATAATAATTCACATAATAATTTAAAGTCATCGTCGTCATCGTTATTGTCCCAAGGAGTTTATACGGATCCTAGTTATTACCATTATTGCCAGGGACGTTTAAATATCCCGCTGAATCATCCCAACAGGCCTCTGCGGTGGTGGAGATGGTCTCCACATGGCAGATGAGGAAACTGAAGCTCGCAGCGGTTAAATCCCACAGCGCGGCTGCCTGGGTTTCAACAAGAGCCCCTCGTGTTCTACTTGGGTGATGGCCACACACTTCTGACATGGGGTGTTCATCTCAGGCGGGGGTTTCTGAGCTTTCTCAGTGCCAAAACCATTGTTTTTTTGTTGTTGTTGTTGTTGTTGTTTTTCCAAATGCTGCTTTTCCTGCAAACTCCAGGGAGCAAAACCCCAAAAAGCCAAACAAGCCCTCTGGCCGAAGTGGGTATGGGGCCCCAGCAACCTAGCCCCTTGATTCTAGGGTGGCCCCTGAAGCCCCTTAGGGTCCAGGAGCAGAGTGTGACAACCCCCCCACTGAAGCCAGCAGCGACAACAACAAAAAAAACCTAAGCTCTGAGAATTCCGTGTGAGGACAGCCTCCTTTGCATAATGCAGCTTTGGAGGTGGGGGGTGGGGGGGCACCTGTCTCCGAGGCCTGTGATCCTCATTATCAGCTCTGAGGTGGACCAGGCAGGGCAGATGACCCTCAATTTGCAGATGAAAGACATCAAGGCCAGATGGAGTTGAGCCACTGGGCAAAGGTGCACCAGTTCACTTTGGGGCCAAGCGCAGACTGGAAGCAGACCTGTGTCCATTAGCTCAGTGTGACCTGGCAGAGAGGGTGCCATCTACTGGAAATTGCCACTGACCCTTGGTCCACAAAGTGAACGATCAGCATCTTGGCCACCGAGTGCTGAGCACAGCCCCGAGGCCCCCTGCCAGGGCTCCATCCCGGAGCATATGGCAACGGGCAGCAGAGGGGGGCTCAGCGCCACTGGGGGGCTGGCGGCAGGATTCGGCCGGTAGACGGGCCATTCCCATCCCAGCCGCATGGTGCTGGGCATGGGGCAGGGTGAGCAGTGACAGCCGGGTGCCTCCCACCTTTGTCGGCAGCCTGAGAGGGGACAGCAGGGAGTGCACCTGGGGCACCTGCACACGCTTCGCCTTTCTTCCCAGCTCTTTTCTAGAAATCCCCAAAACCAGACACCGTTGGTGATTGCCTAGATGCCCCCCCACCCCACCTCCGGCATCTCCGAGTTGAACTGTAGCATGTGTTGGAGCAGGTGACACTTAATTATCACTTAGTCTTCAATTAGCACTTAATTATTAACACTTAATCCATCTGTAAAATGGGGACACCAATACCTGCCTCCTAGGGACCCTGGGAGGATTAATTAACGTCTGCAGCCCACTCTGAGGATGCCAGACGTGACTGGGGGCTCACAGTGGCACTGACGGCCGTGGCACTTTGCTCGCTTTTCCTGACGCGCTCTCTCCTTCCTTTCCCTGCGAATTTCCAGCCCCAATCATATCTGCCCAACATTGAGCTCTGTGTTTCCCAGGCACAGGATTCCCCAACTAGGAATAGGGCTATTTACAGCCATCCTCCCGCACTTTAATTTTCTATTGTGCCCTCTGAATATGTCAATGCCTTCCCAGTAAATATTTTGATGTGCGCTCTTGCAGCGGCTTCTGTGGAGGCTGAATGGGACAGCTGCTCCCTGTATTAGGGAATTCCAGATGTGGTTTAAAACCACCAGACTCATCTGTGCCAGTGCCTAGCCTCTGGGAGCGGGAAAGGGAATGTATCGCAGAGCTGCCTCGAGGGAGAGCCACGGGCATCCGACCCTCAGCCTAGGCCGGTGCGGATTTTCGAGGGCCTCGGATCTACACCTGGGTGGCCCGGGCAAAGGGAAAAACATTCCCCTTGGTGGGCTGGTCAAGAGGCAGCAGAAATACAGCCCTGGTCTGGCTCTTCACCGGGGAAGCTCAGGATCCTGGTCACCCGCCCTATAAAGATTGGACAAAGGACCCCAACAGGTGGAGAGAAGGCATATACAGCCTTTAGGGTTTAACCAGACTCAACAAGGGGCCAGAACATTCCCCCAGAAGGTCAGACCTCGGCTCCTCCCCCCTCCCTTGGTGCCAGCCACGGACGGGGACACTCACCCTTCTTGGAAGTTGAGCCCGTTGTCTCTCGGAGTCCCAGCCACCTGGGCAGAGAGCTGTTCCTTTGCGGTCCTGGGCTGCAAGGCCTTGGGCAGGCCTTGAACTCTTTTCCAGATTTCGTGGCAAGTCTTGTCTAAGCTGTCTTGGGGTGTGTCCTGGTGGATCCAGATGTATCTGGGGAATGGGCCCAGGGCGGAGGGGCGCTTGGCCACCAGGGCTGAGGATGAAGGGAGCCCATTTCCACTGGCCATCCTCCTCCTGTCTTTCCAGAGGCCCCTTCGTCCGCCCAGGGCTTGAAGACAGGGGGACCATCCACCACCACCCCTCATTCACCGGAGAGGGAAATGAGGATGGGCAGACGCAGGTCAATTCTGTGTGGCTGTTGCTTCAGCAAGGTGGCTGTGCTCAGAGGCCTTCGCAGTGGGTGTGAGGGGAGGACAGAGCACCGCTCTCTTTTGGGGAGGGGGAGCTTATTTTGATTTGCTTTTATTTGCTCTCTTCTGACTTTTGCCCCCCTCCCCCTCTCCCATAGAAGAAAATATTTGAAAGTCAACAAAAACCAGTAGCTTAGTAACCGTGGAACCCCCCTGAGCTCAGGAACCAGGCACCTGGGCAGGCAGAATGACATCTGGGAACAGCTGGAGGGGGAGGGCGGGCTCTCCCCCCAGCCCCCGCTGTCCCGTCGCCACACCCCCGTGACACCTGCGGCGCTCAGCCCAGTCCAGGGCTGGTGGGCAGGTGCTAGGCCAGGGCCTGGCGCAGGTGCTAAGTCAGGGCCCGGTGGGCAGGTGCTGGGTCAGGGCCTGGTGCAGGTGCTAGGCCAGGACCCAGTGCAGGTGCTAGGCCAGGGACCAGCAGGCAGGTGCTGGGTCAAGGCCCGGTGCAGGTGCTAGGTCACGGCCTGGCAGGCAGGTGCTGAGTCAGGGCCTGGTGCAGGTGCTGGGTCAAGGCCTGGTGCAGGTGCTAGGTCAGGAACCAGCAGGCAGGTGCTAGGTCACGACCTGGCAGGCAAGTGCTAGGTCAGGGCCCAGGGCAGGTGCTAGGCCAGGGCCCAGGGCAGGTGCTAGGTCAGGGCCCGGGGCAGGTGCTGGGTCGGGGTGCAGGGCAGGTGCTGGGTCAGGGCCCTGGGCATGTGCTAGGGGCGGCGGGGGCGGGGTCAGCCCTCGGGGTCCCGCCCACCGTCCCGGGGCCTCCCAGGGACCCCGCCCCCTGCACCCTGGGGCTCGGGATGGCAGACCCCGGTGCCCCACCCCGCCCGGTGCCCCCAGCAGATACCTGCCCGCAGGCCCGCTGCCTGGGCCGACTTTGCCGGCGCCCACACCCTGGGCCCAGCGCCGGGTTCCTCTGCGGCCCAAGCGCAACGGCTCGGAGCGGAGCGCGGGCGCCGGGTTCGGGGTGCGGCGCCCAAGGCCCCGGGTGGGTGGGGGCGGGGCCGGGATGACCCGGGGGCACCTGCACTTGCCCCTGCCGCCCCGCCACTCGTGCACAAGCTCCGCACCTGCCGGGGGCCCTGCCCGGAACCACCGATGTGGCCCCAAACTGACATTTTTGGGGGTCGCTTACCGTGTGCCAAGCTCTGGGCTTCCCGTGTCCTAGCCAACCCACCAAGCTCGTGAAGTTAGTACCTTTGTTACCGGTGGGGCCTGGAGGAAACGCAGTCTGCGGGTCAGAGGGGGTCCGTCCAGAGCCCACCAGGAAGACGGGAGCTGGGATTCACACCCAGGCCCCCACCCTCCAGGCCCCACCCAACCGTCGCGGCCTTAGGGATCTGCCTATCCCTACTGAGCTGGGTTCAGCAGGTCCCCAGGGTGGAGGGGGAGCAGGGGGCAGTGGGGTCAGGGGCTCCCAGCCAGAGAGAAGGGCTAGGTTAGCAGTTTGCGGCCCAGTGAGCTCACCTCTCTCCCTGGATGGGCTTCATTAAACTCAGAACTGATGCGGCACTTTGCCTGCCCAGGGTTCCGGGGCCCCGGGGGTCAGGGGTCCACCCAGGAAAGGGAGAGCGAGCCAGATGACTGGGAGAAGAGTGGATGGGAAGAGACCAGCCACGGCCACCTCCTGGCTGGGGGGCCCAACCCCTCTTTTAACCTCCCCCATGCACCTTCCTTCCTTCATTCCCCAGGATTGGCTGAGCACCCCAGGTGAGATGCGGGCACCGAGGACGCATGCAGGTGAGCAAACTGGCACAGTCCCTGCTCTCCTGAGGCCTGTATTCTAGTGCAAGGAGAAAGACCGCACACTAGCGAAGTAAATAAGCACTAATTACAGAGGAAACGAGGGCTCTGACAGAAACTAACCATCACCACGTGTGCCAGTGCCTCGCCTTTGGGCATAGAAAAGGGAAAGTATCACGGAATGGCCTCCAGGGAAAGCCACGGGCATCCGACCCTCAGCCTAGGCCAGTGTGAGTTTTCAAGGGCCTTGGATCGACAACTGGGTGGCCCATGCAGAATGAAAAATGTCCCCTTCGTGGGCCGGTAAAGAGGCAGCAGAAATATGGCCCTGGTCTGGCTCTTCACCCGGGGAACCTCAGGACCCTGGTCACCTGCCCTATAAAGACTGGACAAAGGACCCCAACTGGTAGAGGGAAGGCATAGGGGAGGACAGGGGGAGGGGAATGGTGGCAGCATCAGATGGATGGCCAGGTAGGCCTCCTTGAGGAGCTCAGGTGTAACACTGTAGATGAGACAGAAGGAGAATCCTTTTTTTTTTTTTTTTTTTAATAAAATGGTGTTGAAAATTCTTATGAAAACCACATTTCTGGCACATAGTAGGCACTCAACAAATACATGTTGGATGAATTAATGCTATATCATTTGTAAAGTACCTGGCATACAGTCGGCGCCCAATACACAGCTTTGCTCTTTAAAGAAGGCCTGAGTTCCTGGGAATGTTGACTCTCAATTTTGAAATCCCAGCTTCATTCGCCTTTGATTTTCATTATAAAATTGAAGATGTGCTCCTTTGGGGAAAATTCTGAGGACCTAGACTGAATAAAATTATAGTTAAGAATGTAGAAAACCTTTTAAGATAGTGTATTTAAAGGAAAAGTGATCATTTCTGATGAAATATTAATAGTTCTGAAAATGTCACTCAGTGTTTGTGCTGCTTGGCATTTGGTTGGCTAACACCCATGCTTAGAGCAGAAGGCCAACAGCCCGGCCCTGCCCCGGCCACAGGATTCTGGAAAGTTAGCCAGCTCACTGGCTCCTGTTCCTTCTCCCCCCACAGCAGGAGGCTAGGCAACAGGGGCTAAATTGGAAAGGATTGAAAAAAAATAAAATAAAATAAAATAAAATTCAGCAGGGATAGGGAATAAAGATAGGGGCATGTTTCTTGGAGCACACAGCTGAGGTTTCCAGAAGATTCTGCAGAAAACATAAGCGAAGTAATTCGAAATTGTATAAAACTATGTCTGATATGGTAGCTGCTAGCCACATATGGATGGCTATTTTCATTTTAATCCTATTTTAATGTAAATTAAGTTAAAATCTGAGCTCCTTAGTTACATCGGCCACATTTCAAATGCCGCATGTGGCTCGCGGCTGCCATTTTGGACTGCGCGGAGGGCGGGGGGGGGGGGGCATCTGCGTGGTCATGAGACACATGGGCTCTAGAGCCAGACTACCTGGACTCGATTTCTGAGTTCATGGGTTCTGGCGACAGATTACCCTGTGCCTTGGCCTGTTAGTTCTCTAGGGATGCCGCAGAAAGGGAGGCTAAACCCGAGAAATGCATTTCTTCCCGGTTCCGGAAGCTTGGAATTCCAAGACCAGGGTGTCAGCAGGGCCTCTCGTGGGCTCCTGGCTGGCTGTCTTCTCCCTGTACCTTCATATGGTCTTCCCTCGGTGCACCTGTCCTCCTCTTATCAGGACCCCGGTCATACCAGATTAGGAGCCAATCCTGAGTCTCATTTTACCTTAATCACTCTTTAAAGTTTCCATCTCCACCTAGAGCCATATTTTGAGTTTTTTGGGGGGGGTTGTTAGGGCTTCAACATATGAATTTGGAGGGACACTATTTAGCTCCTAACACTTGGTCGTATCTATAAAACGGGATGATAACGAAGAACACCTGCTTTGCAGAATCGTGGTGGAAGTGCTATTCCTGAGTAACGACTTAACACACGGGACGCGTGGCCCGTAAGAGACGCACAGCAGTGCCGTATATCCGTCCCTTTGTTGATTACGCTGAAATGTGTGCTACCGGGTTTCTAAATAACAGCTTTTGTGCAACGCGTAGGGAGGGGAGGACTTGAGCTGCACTGGGGAAATTGCTCTGTGAGGAAGGGACAGACTCAAGTCATCAACTAAGCCCTTCCAGGCTTTGTTCATTTTTGAGCGCCTGCCACGGGCCAAGATTGTGCAAGACACAGGGTGAAGAGATGAATAAAACCTCTAACTTAGACGTCATCACAGGCGCGTGAAGGGAGCGAAGCTTTCCAGAAGTCCCCGGCACACAGCAGATGTGGGGACATCAGAGCCTGTTGGGGTCCTGCTCAATGTATGTCGTGGTGTCCCTGCAGCACGCAGGCGTCTCGGTGCCCAGCGCATGGAGTGGTGTCCGTGGAATGGGTGACCGTTGAATGCGGGGACCAGGCCGCCATTGGCACCTTGAACGGTGGGTTCGATTGGTTTGAACAAATCTACTGCCTGTTACTGCCCTCGTGATGCTGGGTGGATTGCTTGCCCCCAGTATACCCCCGTTTGCTCATCTGGTGAAACGGGGACGATAAAATGCTGACCTCGTGGAGCTGCTGGGTGACAGGTACAGAGCTCAGGACAGGGGGCCAGTGAATGTTAGCTACCATTATCTAGGATTCCGAGAGCCTCGTTTTTCAGTCTGGAAGCAGGAAAACCTCAGGAAGAAGCAACTCTCCCTCCCCACTCCCCAGCCGAAGCCTCCACTCACTCACGGGCCTTGGTCGCTGTCACCTGCGTGGCCAGGGTGGGGAACGCGTCCAGGTGGGTGCAGCCTGCGCTCTGTTAAGACCTTCATGGCCCAAAACCAGCTTCCTCTTGGAGGGCCCTATCCCTCATCTAACATAGTTTAAACACACCCACCTCTCACCACAAATATAACTTTTTTGGCTGGAAAAGAAAATTGAAAGGATTTTTGCCATTTTGCTTTTGAAAATGTTTGGCCATGAGTGATTTATTTAATCTACGGTCGGCTCTCATTTCTTACCGCTCTTGGTGCTTTACCTGGGAAATCTTGCACAGCAAGGAGACTCCAACCTACAAATTGTCATCAAACGTGATGAAATTTTCATGACTACTAAATCCAGCCATTAATGAAGCTGACGTAACGTCACATTTTCCATTTAATTATT